AAAAAAAAAAAAAAAAAAAAAAAAAAAAGAAAAAAAAAAAACACGTTCCTTTTTACGTATAAACTTTTTCATTCAATTATACGTATAAAATTTGACAAGTTATTTCTAAATAACGCCAAAGATATCATTGTAAATATAAGTCATGCGACATATATCAACAACATGTGTTAAAAATATATTAAGTTAAATAATTTCGTTATTTTGTTGATTTTGTTATGTCGTTTAATTATCTTGATAACCAGAAGTCGCCTTCACATTTCAATAACGTAACGTTTAATTTTATGCCTACATTTGTATTAATTTTGTCGATCGAATAGACAAAAAGTGAGATTAATCGAACAACGCAAACTAAGTAATAATCGATTAGCCGTATCAATTTAGTTACCATTTTCTTTCCTTTAGATTCATGTACATTTGTGCATGCAAAATTTTTAAAGATGTATATGTAAATAGGCATATATGTATATAATATATATAATATATATATAATATGTATATAATATATATAATATATATATATAATATATATAGCTTTTCTGTGATGATGAACCTGAATTTTATGAACTTTCCGAGCTACAAATAGGTTAATACCTCCGTTTCCATAGCGTGTGCGTGCGTGCGTGTATTATTAATTCTAACGATGCATTTCCAATTTATTTGCACCACTATTATATCATATAGTCTACCAATATCATACAGTCATACACGGATATTATAATTATAATTCTTCCTCAATCGACGCAATTTATTTATCGAGATTATTAATTATTAATCATAGAATTGGAAGATTACAATTTCTTAAATCTTAATTATTTTAAATGTTTGATCGAGTTAAGTACGGATAAATCGAAGATTAATATTAAAATTGATTAAAAAAAAAAAAAAAAAAAATCGAAGTGCGTGTAATTCCTCCGATATAAGCTAATTTTCTAGAAAAGTCACTCGTACATTCGAACAAGTTAGTTTTCAGAATTTTTACTTAGAACACACACTTGTGACTGTACGGGGCCTTCACACGAGAGAAAAATTTCAAAAGTATATTTTCTTCGAATAAATATACAAAA